AACCTAATTTGAATGCAGCAACTCATCTGGGGATACAAAAGTACAACACTGAAGCTCAGGTCTCACTTGAAGCAGTCAGGTGCAATACCAATGATCACTCCTCAGATGAGGGCCTAAAACATTCCCTCAGCTCTGTCTTTCGTTGCTTTCTGTCACTTCAATATAAAATCAACCTCAGACAACTCCAGAGATGAAAGCTTCATGAACAAAGCACCAGCTTTGGTTCTGCATTGGTGCAAGTCTGGTGAAAGAAGCCTTGAATCTTTGCTTCAGTATCAAAAAAATGATTAGCCACACTTCGTATCCTCAACGAAAACAGACTGAATAGAGAGGGATATTGTTGCTACTGGTTTTATAGCCTTATTCCTGCAACAGTTTGATGCAGATGACAGTGCTTCATTTCCTACCGCTCACACATTCGGTTGCACTGGGATGTGCCCAGTAGGCGCTGTGGAGATACTCTGGCATAAATATGACTGAAGTAAATGTTATCTAGTTTACTGTGGGATTTGCAGTACACTGTGCAACATTAGAGACATCCTTGAAGCTCAGGATGCTTCAAGGTTGGGATGAAAATTGGTCAGTTTACCTACAGACCTAAAATGTGTAAACATTTTATCCGCTCCTTTGTTTCCCCAGAAGGAAAAGGTTTGGTTTTTTTTTTTTTCTAAATTCCTTTTTTTACCACTAAAGGACCTGACAGCTGGAGACATAATGTCAGTTTTATTGTCTCAGATTAGCAAATTCTGAAGTTTAAATTGGGGCCAGTCACTTCCAGGTTTGCATTAAAAGCACACTACGTGTGCTTCCCTTCTCTGACAAAAGACAGACTTTTTTCCACTTTTACTTGTAGCACCAGATATTGAAGAGCAAGGGAACGTTTCCTTTTGCCTACTTGTCAAATGATCCAAAACAAGACTTCGTCTTTCAGTGACAATACAGGAATTATTTTCAGATTAACACTTATAAATTAATGCTCACACTCTCACATTAATGTTCAGACCATCAGAAAAACACTTTTAAAGATATGTTACTCCTTTATCCTATATTATTTTTTGACATTACTAGCTTTTGTCCCAGCAACAATTTCAACCACAAGTATTCGGCAAAACTAAAGTAAGAATTAAGTTCTCTAGTTGTATAAGCAGCTAAAAAACTATCACTATTTCTCTGTTATATAAGGAACAAAAAAAAATCAAGTAAAATGGTAGGCTTTTATTTCTAATAAAACCTCTTCAAAGAGGTTGAGCTGCAGCTGAAACTTTACTAGTGACTATCAACATTTTAATGTGAGGTTTCTCATTTTTTATATTAAGTGAAAAATTTCAGTAACTATATAGACAAAAGCAGCTGTATTGCACTGAACAACTGATCACCCATTTCAACTCAAAACATTTCCTGTTTACTTTAGGTTAGCATTTTGTTCAGCAATTGTAGTACGAAGTACCTGAGTTACTGCTAAACTTGCCACTTAAAAATGAAACTTAACAGCACTGAAAAAGTGAGCTGAGTCTCCAACATCCCTAAAATAAAGCACTGAGCACTAAGGACTGGTGGTAAGAGGACGATCTCACTTCATCTGCCTCCCTGTATCTAATAAATACTTTCTGTTTACAATTCCAGTATTATCGTATTTGGTCTTATCTTTTCCTCTGTGAAAGAAAGCCTGCAAAAATTTAACAACCTAATTTATGTGCCATACACAGCTCATACAGTATTTTGCTACCCAACTGACTTCAAAATCCAGCTTTAATAGTCTTGCAAAGAAATCCAGATTGGTTTTTTCCCTCTAACTGAAAAGTTCTATGTTTGCCTCTTTAGGTACTTCTCTTTCCTTTGTAGTTGCATTAACATGTAATTGGTCATTACTCTTAAGTAATCATTTTCATGGAAATGCATTACAAACAATTTTCTCCAAGCTTTTTAATTAAGCATTCATTGCGAGAGGCATGGCTGGTACATATTAAGCCTTCAATTGTAGCAACTGAAATATTCCACTGCATTCCCCATCTTCCCTGGAAACAGGGTATCTGGTTTCTACACTTGCATAATTGCATGGTTTGGATCATCTGTCTCTATTGTAAAATCAGATTGAGGCCATTTTATTCCTCATGTCACTCTCTCAGTTCTATCACTACCCATAATTAACAGTTTCTTAGCAGTCGAAAAACATTTTATAATCATAGTTGAATTTAACAGTCAATTCTTAAAATGCAAGACTTGGCATGAGGATGATTCATGTAAAAGACAGTGAATCAGAAACTCATATCTCCATTTCTGTTACTGACCCTGGAGCTAGTGATACTTAGCACCGTTACTGATTGGATATATTTTTTAACTGAAATTTCATTGTTTGAGCATCCATTGCGTATTATTAATGCCTTGAGAATTTTTAAACTCCCTGGATCAGTTCTGCTAATCAAATACGGTTGCTGAGAAAAAAAGACTCAGACTCATTTAAGAGAACAATTAGACCTCCCAAAAACATGAACTTCCTGGAACATATTTGGGCAGTGACAATCTCACTAGTTACCCACATTATTTACTGCAAATGAAAGCCTTAGTGCAGTTAAAAAAAAAAAAAGTAGCAAAACCGATATAAGAAAATAAATATTAAAAAACAAAGACACAGCAGCTAAAGCTCAGTGGAATTTCTCTTGACTGCAGAGACTGTGTTCTGTAGGAGTACAGGTGAACATAAAGAGAACCCAGAAGCAAAGAAAATTTCCACAGCGGTTTGTGGGAAAAACAGGTTTGCTTTCTCATTTTCTTTCTAATGGCAGTTATCCCTTGTGCCGAGTTAATCTCAGAATTATTTACTCCATACTTTTTTCTTCCATCAAAGGCATATTAATACCAAGGCTCAATTCTTCCCAGAAACAAAAGAGGCTTGCAATTAAAGAAAGTCAGGTTTTGTTGGACAATATTTTCACGGTTAGCAATACAAAGAGAGTCAGAAACTTGAGAAAGACACGGTAATGTAACAATTACTTTAACTGGTATGTGGCAATGTGCTGTTCCCACACACACACACTCCTCCAAATGAAATAGTTTCAGCATTGTCTAAATTTTTACTTTACCGTGTTTCCTTATCTATACCTTGCTTTAGGGGAGGCGGAGATTTCACCCACTTCCAGGGCCTTCTTGCTTTTGAGGTTTGGATGAGCCTATTAAAGAACTTATCGAGGCTCCAGCACTTGCACCTGACACTTGTTCAGTACATTACCATCCATTTTTTCCTGTGACTGTGTGAAGCCTGGCCTGCTTCTATTAATCCTTTTGAAGTAGCAGATTGTTTTATATTGGGATTGCTGTGCTAAAGCCTGCAGCACTGTAGGTTCTGCCCCCTTACCGAGCCTCTTCTTGCCGGCCTTTGTAAATTCAGGAGTCACCGGCCTGGAGAAGCTGGAGGAAGCCATATCCAGTTTCAAATCCAGGACTGAAGGAACAGACTGGGACTATTTTGCTTCCAGTAGAACTGGTTTATGTGTTTCAGTTCATGCTAGTTTAACCCAATGAATGCCTAGAAAGCTGCTGCACAGTCACACTGTAAGGATGGATATTGCCTAAACCTGGACAGGTATCCTTTTGCTTGCTTTGTTGTCTCAATGCGTTTCCTTGGATTCATCAGTGTTATTTCAGTACGTCAGCAGCCTATGAGCTAAAAATTACCTAACAATTTGCAGAGCAGCCCATGAGGAAGCAGAACTAAAATGCTAATTAGGGCATGTAGCTCTTAGACAGGAGGCAGCGGTAGAAGGGCTGAAAGGACAAGAACTAAAGCACTGTGGGGTGGGTGGTGGAAAACTGCCTGTGCCTGAGCCCCGGAGATCACAGGCATGCAGCGATCACACTGCAGGCTGGCTTTGTGCAAAACCAGTTGTTGCTCATGTGGTGTGCATCTAGAAACCAAGCAGAACTTGCATGCTCTACATGCTTCAGGAAACGTGTGTGGAGGTTTTCAGGGGAATGATGATTGGAATGGACATGAACAAGCCCTGAGCTGTTGCATAAATAATTATCTATGTAGACATGCCCCAAGTTTAAGAAAAGCACAGAGCTTTCTTCCTCCATGGGTATTTACATATGGTACTGGTGGACGCTTATTTTTGGTTTTCTGTTTTCTCCCTGTGTGGGTTCCTTCTGCCTTATTTGTGTCCAGACCTGACAGCAGATTGCAGTTACAGTCTTATCAACTACTTTAATTATAATACTGCATTACAGTGATGTTACACTCAATGATTCTAGTGAGTTAGGACCAGGGCCAGGGAGGAAGTATTCACAAGAAGAAGTATCACTAGAGTACAAATTTATTATTATTCCTGACAAAGCTGCTATCCTGCACCTCAAGACCTTCCACAGGCTGGGAAGTATAATTACTGCCACATGGCTACGGTCACTGACCTAGCCGTCCCGGGCAATGCAGCTTGTGCCTACCAGAGCATCATTTTAAAGCAAGGTGTTGTGGTCCACCTTGCACATTGTTACACACTGCCTATGATAAGGCTGTCAGACACAGATTGAAATGACTTCCCCCTGTTGCAGTCAGTCAGTCCCAAGTGCTCTCAAACCATTTAAATGTCATAAAATTATTTTTTTCCATTCCTATTCAGTCTCTGCCAAAATTTTCAAATAGTCTGAAGTCTTCCATATTACAATTATTACTAATTACAATTAGTCTTGTCTAACTGTCAGTCAGATTATGGCCAGATGTTACCATGTATTAATTCAAATAAATTTTCTACAGTTTTGGGCCAAATACACAACAGTAGAAATGCTATGACTGTGTGATAGACCAAGTAGGAGATTCAAGACCTTCATGATTTTTAGCAAAGCAAAAAAATCTGGTTTGTTTGAAAGATGCTCTTATAAATCATACCTTAAAATTCTTCTGTTATAAAATGCTGTTAACTGTCTAAATAGCATTTTTATGCAGCCCTTTGACAAATCTAGGTAAGAAAATTGAAGCAGCTAACTCTGGTTTTTTCTTTGAATTTCAGGTATTGTTGCAGTCCTTTTCTGTGGAGTCACACAGGCCCATTATACCTACAGCAATCTGTCACCAGATTCCAAAATGAGAACTAAACAGGTAGGGAAATAACTGACTTTGTGTCTTCAACTGGTGTAAGGAATAGACAGAGGTACTGGCATACGGCTGGATGGGATTTCATTAATGCAAAGGAAGAGGCTTATGTCTTCATTAGTGGAAAGACTGGAGATTTTGCCAGGAAAACAGTAACAGTTCTCTGGATAAGCAAAAAATGTAAGAATGTGTTCTTCCCAAGAGACCTGAAATGTCAGTCGAGGAGATGAAGGGTAGGGAGATAACAGTTTACACTAGCTCCCATGGAAAAATGCTACAAAATTAAGGAAATCAAAGAGCTCTGGTAAATAAGACAGAAGTGGTTTGAGAGATTGGATCCATGTGGATTTTTGCAAAGGGACAGTATAAACTGCAGTCTGGCCCACAGATGAGCAATGACAGCATTTCATTTCTGCCTCGTTAAAAATCTGACATAATTAGAAAGAGTGATTTCTTTTTTCCATTGTGTTATTTAGAGTTTAGAGAAATTTGGTTGTCTGGTTTTTGTTTGATCAGGTGACTTGTACAATTTTAATTATTTTTTTGAATCTTGGGGCTGTTCTCAGTACTAGATATATGGCATTGCAATGTTAAAAATACTTTTCAGCACAAGGGGTAACTTTAGACTACCTCGCCGCTACCTAGACCCTGTGAGAAGTCATTTAAATGCAGTTTTCTTCCCTTTTAATATTAACTTGTATGTCCCAAGAACCCCAGGTTGTAGAAAAACTATCTCCTAGAACAAAATGGAAACATACGGTCCAAAACTATAATTTTTGTGATGCAGTCTGGTACCTTTTTCTGCAATTCTTCTGTTTTAAGCGTTGGAAATTGTATGTAGAAAATTTCATCGCTTCTTGCACTTCTCGAGTTAATCAAAAATCCAATTTTCTATCAAAAACAGTTTGATAGAAAAAATACTGGCCACAGTATCAGTTCAGCTGTCAGACTCTCTCATAGTTCAAATCACAAAAAAGTTTCTGGTCAATACTTCCAGAATACAATGTTAGCTATTGAACAGGATAGTCTTCTCAATTGCATTTCTTCATACCAGCAGAGGCTGAGGCTTTCAAAAAGTATTCCAGTAGTGAAGAGAACCTTTCTCTGATAACTGTATCGTAAAGGAATAACCTTTATATCTGCTATAGAATTGTTTCTATTTTACAGAAATACTGAATTGCATATGCCATTACTACCCTTGAGCATAATTCTTACAATTTGAATACAAGGCTCTTTCAGGGATTCATCTGCATGATTTAGTGATGCATAGCCTTAGAGAGAGAAAGAGAAAAAGAAAGGCCATGGTATTTTTAATTACCTACAAATGTTTTCAACTACAGAATAAAATAACATTTAGTTTAAATGCATACTGGTTTTATTCATGCTTACTCTTTCATTCCCTCCCATTCAACAGTGCAAAACAAAATAGTGAAAATAAACTGAATCTCCCCTTGAACACACAGAAAAGTGATTATGTGTTTCTCTGTGGAGCTATGAGTTTTATGCACCCCTTCTATTCTGTTTTTCTCTTCCCCAATAAGCTCTTAATCCTCAGCCTCCCTTACGATATGGTTCAAAAATTGTTGTTAAATTCCTTTGAATTCATCTAATTTATTTTCTAATCCAAAGATTACCCTTTCATATGTAGCTGTTTTCAGCAAGACCTGCACTGCCTCTTTCTTTCTCTCCTCCCAAGAATTCTCAAGCAAATTTACTAAGCCACACACTTGGCATTCTGATAATCATATACAACTACAGTGCATTTTAAATTAATATTGTTGCTCAGACAGATGGCTGTGCTCCCAATCTAAGTCATTTTTATTACTCATTACTGGCCAAAATCAAGGGCTTTTCAGTTTGTTTGTAGAATTATTTCAAGGGAGCCTCTCTCTCTTTTGTTACAATATGACAGATCTTTCAATAAGGACCGGTGAACTGTAATGCGCACTGACAAAACAGTGAGTTAAGGCTGAAGCTAAAGCTAACAAAAAGCATGGAAATCGGATTTAAAACTCTAGATCAGATTGTGAAATTGTGTTAGCTGTTTTTAAACAAGTGCTTTTTCTCTAATGCTTTGCATAATTTTCTTTACATTTTTTACTAGCTGTTAAAATTTCATAGCTTGATGGTAAATTTCAGTATACAATGATAGAGGTGGTGTTTCTGGCCCTGATGCCAAATTCTGCATTTCTCATAATACCTCATCAGTTGCTCTAAGAAAAAAAAAAGACTAGTATGGTTTTCTTCAGATACTGATATAAAATGAAAACTTATCTACAGTTCTTAAATGAGAATTTAAGAACCTCTGTTAAGAATGCCTGTTAAAAGATGCCATAAAATTATTAGTCCTCGTGTACCCTTTATTATTCAGTCAATCACCATTTAGCATTCCAGGAAAGACAAAATACTGGATTTCAATCTGAAACTTACAGAATCTGTAAGTATAAACTATCAGAAACCTTGTCACAACGGAGTCTTTTAACACTGTCATAAGAAAAGCAAGATAGCAAAGAATATGCAGCCTTTAGAAAGTTGTCATTCAATGTAATTACCCCAGTTCTCACTATTTATAAACATTGTCTCTATTTTTATTGTATGTTTTTAACAGGAATTATGTTTTATGGCAGTATTTTTCAGTTATCATCATTGACCTGACTATGGCTATAGTGATTTTAACGTTAAAATTGACGCTGCCATCTGTGCCAACAAGGTTAGGTCAAACAGTGCTCTCCTGAGTTTCGTACATTTAAAGTTTAATTTACTCAGTATGTCTTTAGTGAAGGAGAAAATGAAACTGCTAGGACCTGATCGAAAGCTATTTGATTCTGTGCAGCTTTGTCTAGAATTTTTTGCAGCTGCTAGTATAACCTCACATTATGCTGCAGGCAAATAGTTGCTTCTAAATCTTGGGACATTATAGTTCAGATTTTACATTAGGTTCTTCAGATGCACAGTTGGGTTGGGTTAATTTGCTCAGCTACAAGTAGGTCCGTGGCTGGCCAGGGTGTTACTAGATAAATAGAAATTACTGGTGTGTTGAAAGCGGACAGACTGTAAATCCCTACAGGTCAGCTCTAGAAAGGGATGCATGGACAATACTGTGTTTTCTACAGGAAGAGAAGACATTCCTCGCTATTTTTTTCTGTCTGCCCCCTATCAGTTTCACTCAAATGCCAAGCTAAGACCAGCACAGTTTCCTAGTGGTGGAGTATTAAGAGAAGCTTCTCACTTTCTCTAATGTCTATAAATGTTATCCATCATACTTCTGAGTTATATCATTTTCTGGTTATGTTCCTTTAAGTCCAGGGAACAGCCACAATGAAAAGACCAGGGAACAGGGCAATACGTCTCTTTTGGTTAAGTGTGCAAGAGTATGGAGAATTCTACTTTCAGATAAAATACAGAGCCAACAAGTAATACATTCTGGAAAGGGAATTCTGAAACACATCTCCTATGGAAGTAGAGCCAGGGAATTACTAGAAGGCACAGGAAAGCATGTCCAGCCAGCAAGGGGGTATGCCACATTCTGCCCTGCCTGTCTCCTTTCATTCTACCAGTCTAACCCTTGTTTACATAGTCACCTCTGAAATAGCTGTGTCTAACAAGCTCATGAAGAAGACTGCTTTCTCAAATTAGGTGTAATAGCCTTTCCAACCACACTACTAGTTAAACAGTTACATTTTTTTTGCTGCTCCTGATAGCAAACCCATTAGGGAACACCTGCCTTGTAGGCAAAAGCTTCTGGCCTGATTGTTCAGCTGCACTGGGTGTGCAGTATGCACGAGATGCCGCATTAAGATTTCAGCGGCCCTTCACCTCCAAGGTTTTACACAAGCTTGAGACCGGCATAAAGGTAAAACGAGAACTCAGTGCTGCATAACTTCTGAGTAACTTTACCAAAGCATGTAGTCTTACTAGGACTGCTTCAGCAAATTAACTTACAACACTGACGGACTGAAAGCTCAGACTGGTCTTTGGGCTTCGCTCACTGATGGACATAGTACTGATTGCTTCAGATTTTAATCTCCACACTATAAAGCAGACCTGATTATCTCTGATTATTAAAAGTCATCACTTTGCAGAGAAGCAGCTAATATCTCCTAGAAATCCCTTGAAAATACATTAAGTTTTCAAAACTTGCTTAGCTCATTTGTGATACACATTTTCTAACAAGGAAACAGGCTAGGAATCAATGAACTGATTGCTGGATCATACAACAAGTTTGGTGTAAAAGGGTTGTGTTTGTCAGCATATTAATTTAATGCTAATGGTATTAATTGAAACAGGCTGACAAAACAGTCATGAAACATTTTTTTGATTCCTCAAAAACTGTAAAATAAATCGTTATAGTATCTTGATCCTGAAATGCCATTGAATAGCCTCAATAAGGACTTTAGACTTGATGCTGTTCCATCCATAATTATAGACTCACTTCTGAAGCAAATTGGAACAGGATAGTATAACTTCAGAAGTAAAATATGGCAATGGAGATGTCCAAATCTACTGAAAGGGTGAAAAAAAAAATCAATTAATCAAAGGAGTGGTTCCTGAACAGCAATCAGACAGCGTTTAGTAAAAAGGGCATCATAGGACTAAAGGCAAAGAGGTTTTGGCCCACTATATCTAAATGAAGCGCCACCACTGTGATCAAGTCATTCTACTGCTTTTCTGCTGGCCTAACTCTCTAAGAAACAAGTTACAGGCAGAGCTACACTCAGAATTGAAACAACAGATTTCCTTTCTCTAGACACAATGTCTGCCTTGTAGGATTCTTCTGTCAGCTGTCTTTTTGTAAGAAAAGAAATAATGCATTGCAAATTCTGCTTCAGTAGCAGAATGCTTTCGCCTGAATTTGTTGTTAAAAGCACAAGCCAGGAACTGCAGCTACCATTTTTATCTTTCTGTGAGAGAAAAGGAGCAGCTGAGTACTAGTACTGCCAAAACTGCATCAATCGGCTGTTTGCGAGGGGTCGCACTCCAGATACCTAGCACCCATGCTGTATTCG